GAAAGAGACAGAGAGAGAGAGAAGAGGGGAGGAGTTGATCTTGCGAGAACTTCCGGGCGGGTGAGAATAGCCACTTTCATATCTAGATATAATGTTGGGTGCGATCTGTCAATTTGTGCAATCCATCAATCGCTCAGGGCATTTGGTTGATCGAGGAAACGCGCGACAGTCCTTCGATTGTTGCGCATTCTGTTGATCAGCGGATCGCGCAGCGCTTTTTGTCGATCCGTTTGGTTGCGCATTCTATAGATCTTACCCCTGAGTTTTGTTATGGGAGGCCTTTGTTATGTTTTGTTGTCGTCCAGTGCATAATTTAGTTTCACTCTCCAAAGTCAAACCGAAACTGAATGGAAGTAATTGGAAGTCAGGGTTACAATAACAAACTAATCAAAGTGACTATTCGAGTCCAAATAGACAAAAATTATATTCGGACTCTGATTTGAGTCCAGTATGATGTCCATTCCGACTTCCGACCCTTGTTTCTAAATATTTCTAGCATTTATTTATTAACATTTCTTTCGATTATAATGATAACAATTGAGACGTGAGCTTTAATATCCAGTTACTAGATCTAGATCTATCTAAACTGGTCCCCCCTCCATCATTAGTATGAACAAAACTAAGTTGAGCCTGGGGCAAAGTTAATTAATTGTGTCGACCAAAGTCTGCGCGTAGCGATACCGCACTCTCGGGTTATGGGGGAAGAGGTGTTGGGAAGAGGTCACGGCTGTCGATTTGTGCAATGTGATGGAAAAAAAAATTACAGAAAAACTCAACACTCAACAAAATCAAAATTAAACATGTGGAAAGACAAATGGTGGTGGAAGTAATGATGTTGTTGTAGTGGTGGTGGAAAGACCCTGAGTTGTCGGTTTCCGTGTACTTAGACACTGCTATTGAGTAGATCTAATGAGAGTGCAATCAGGGTTAGGCCTGTAGGTCGGTGAGTATCACTCACTGATGTGCTCAGTAAACCAATTTTCTTTTTTTTTAAATTCACTTCATCATCATTGTTTATCGACAGAATGTGCAGTAAATATATAGATCTAATATTATATAGAATCTAATATTTCACGGATCGACAAAAAGCGCTGCGCAATCCGCTGATCAACACAATGCGCAACAATCGATGGATTGTCGCGCGTTCCCTCGATCAACCAAATGCGCTGCGCGGTCGATGGATCGCGCAAATCGACAGATTCGCCCAACATCTAGATCTAGATTCTAGATCTAGATTTAGATCTAGATATCTAGATCTAGATTAAAGTCTATATCTATCTGGATCTAGAATCTAGATCTAGATCTAGGTTTAGATCTAGATCAACTCAAGAGATTAGCCTGCTACTACTACCCTACACTACACGATGATTTTCCTTGCAGTAGTAAATTAGTAGAAATTATTTCGAAGTGACTATTTCTCCGAACGTTAGGAGAAATAGTGCCGATCTTTATTTCTCCGAATCGGTTTCTGGCCTCTGGTCCCGTGATTTTTTTCCTATTTGCGAGAGTTCGGCGCCAACTTTCATTGCTGCCATTCTGCGAGGTCTGGGAAGGAGCAAATTTTTGGGTCTAGAAGTCTAGATCTAGATCTAGATTAGAATCTATTTCAATTTTCAAAAACGTGAAAAAGAAAGGTTTCACAACAGAATGAAATCAAAATTAGAACAGCCCATAAACAACCACAAAAATTAACAAATAAGGGCGTGTGTCCACCTGTCCAAAGAAGATTGGCTGTTTTAACCCTAAATGTGCGTAATTCAAAAAAAAAAGTGCTGGATTAAACATGTAAATTATGGAATCACACACAAGGGGTCTGCCAGTGTCAGTACATGTAATCAGTTTCGGTGGAACGCTCTAACATAACTTATTTAAATCTATATTTAGAATCTAATGAAGGTAGGAACATCAAATTAAATGACGTTACAATTTACAACACCCCCCCCCCCTCCCCCCCCCCTTTTCCCCAACAAAAAAACAATTTTATAGAAAAACAACACATCAGAACAATAACAAGAAAAAAAAATTACTCACACAACAAAATAAAACACCACAAAGAGGGAAAAATAAAAGAGGAACAGTTATAATACAAATCGTATATATATAAATGTAACGTTTTCAACAAATCAACGTGGTGACAACAAGTGAGAAAGAGAGGAAGTGTTCAAGCTAAGTGAAATTTCTTTCAAAAGTAAAGAGGTTCGGTTTCTTTTTTTTTTTTTTTTGACTTTTATTCCCCGATTCGGGGACCAAAAAATGCCAAAAAATTGAGCCATGATTGATTGGTCACGGCCGCGACAAACGAAGAGATGCTAGTTCTATGTGTCGTTATCAATATCCTTCCATAGATCTAGATCTAGACAGCATACAAGTGAACACAATACATCAAGTTTAAGAGAAGCACCCTTCATAGGCAACACGTCATATCTGTAGCGAAAAACTGTTTGGAACTGTAGCTTTTCTTTATATAAATATTTACTGCGGACATTTTTTGGACAGTTTGAACCTTATTGTATACGAACAATCTTTAGTAGGCCTATAATATAATTAAAGATATATCCGAAATTTGCGGGAAAGGATGTGATTTCAGAGTGTTCGGAGAAATAGTGCACAGCTTTATTGTCCCGAACGTTCTGAGAAATAGTGCTGGCCTAATTATTTTACACCCACAATTATTAAGCATGAGTTATTGAGTATGATGACGAGTAGGCTACTTTCAATCCATATGATGTGTAGGCCTATCAGTGGAGACTGTAGTAGTCTGTAGTAATGCTTATGTCAAAGTCATACACACTACACACACAGGCTGGACATCAAACTGAAGAAAGGCCAGCTTCTCTATTCGGACTCTAGATCTGGAGTCTAGATCTACGTCTAGTTTTAGATCTATTTAGATAAGAGTGGTTTCTAGTAAACGTGCTAGATTCATTCATCGGATCCTCGTGGACTCTTGATCTAGAAAATCTAGATCTTACTAATAATATTTAGATCTAAAGACTAGATTCGAAATCTTGATCTCTAGAATCTAGTCCGATTAGATTTTTTATCTTTTCGGACTCTAAGCCAAAAAAATGTTTTATCTATTCGGACTTGGTTTTTTTTTATGTGAGTTTATCTTGAGTGTAAGGAGATTACACAAAATAACTGTCGTTTGGGGATTTTAATTAAGCCCGCGGCTATTTGGACTCAAACTCCAATGCGCATGCACAATCACTAGGTGTACCGCTTGTGAAGCAGGCAAGCAATTCGGCCTTGGCCTTCCTCGGTTTCTTCGATCTGGCCAAGGAACTTACAAAAATTGGATGCCAACCGTGGTGACCCAGTGCGAACTGTGGTCTTTTCTTGCAAAGGATAATATAATAGTAGGGCCAGGCAGTGGGCAATGGTATGGGAGGAAATATAGCTCTATATATTATAATATCATATAACAAAAAAAAGGATGACGGTGGGGGGGGGGGGAGCTGGGGAAGTAAGATGGAGAGAAGAAAAGTAAGAGAATGAGAGAGAGGAAAAGTAAGAGAGAGAGAGAGAGAGAGAAAGGGGAGGGGCGGGTGGCTGTCTTATAAGGACTGATGATGAATTTTATGTTTTGATCCCTTTGTATTTGTTGTCGCGAAACGCAGTGTAACAGCCTACCAGTAGTTTAAAGTCCAAATAGCAACGGGAGACTATTCAGACTCTAGTCTAGACCCCGCCGGAGACAAAAAAAAGTACGGTACAACCGGTGATTGCGCACGTGCACTGGAATTTGAGTCCGAATAGCCTCCAGCGGCTGTTCGGACTCGAGTCTGAATAGCCACTTTGTTTACGTAAACTAGAATTAGAACTAGAATTAACTACTAGATTGTGTCAAAAGTCAAAAGACTGCACTCTCATTGCCCAATGGCACTATCTGCGTACACGGTAACCGACAACTCAGGGTCTTTCCATGACCACAACAGCATCATCATTAGGCTACTTCCACCACCGTTTGTCTTTCTACATGTTTAATTTCATATTGTTGTGTGTTATAGCTTTTCTGTAGGCCCAATTAATTATTTTTTTAAAATCACATCGCACAAAATCGACACCCTTGGCCTCTTCCCAACACCTCTTCCCCAGCAAGCCTAGAGTACGTTATCGCTATGCGCAATCTCATTGGTCGACATAATAATAATTAACTTTGCCCCCGGCAAGATCAACTCAGTTACTTGGTTGTTCTGTTCATACTTATAATGCAGATTAGATAGATCTAGTAACTGGATATTAAAGCTCACACATCTCGATTGTTATCATTTTAATCGATACAATTTTCATATATATGCTGGAAATATTTAGGAACAATGGTCGGAAAAGGGTAGGGACGTCATGCTAGACTTGATTCAGAGACCGAATATCATTTTTGTTCAATCGGACTCGAGTCCGAATAGTCATTTCGCATAACGATAAATCATAGTTTAGTGTTTGATTAAATTTGACAGAGGTAACTTATCCTATCCTTTTGAAACCTTTGTCACTCTTTGTGTAGCCCATCCTTACATTATGATTGCAGGATAGGTACCGGTAGTCGAGCCTGCCTTATAATGGAAACCTGTCGTAAAGGAATTTCCCCACTTCCCCCTCGAACACTGAAAACTTAAATTCAGAGAGAACTTGACCAACATACCCTGACTGAACCAACTATATTTTGTTTCAAGTGTTTACAACATTTTTTGAAAACATACACAGTGTCTTAATACTAGTCTACTAATAGGAGCTTTTATCTTAAAAAGCCTGATCAAATGTTTCCTTTCAGTTGTCTTGAATTCAAATTGCACAATGAAAAACAAACACACACTCACATCACCCCACAGATTTTCAGGTTACCTGAGCCCGCCAGACTTGCCCCTGCATTGTCACTTTTGTGTGATAGTTGACAGTCTTCTGTGATATTTCTATTTGACTGGACGGTCAACAGCGGAACCAGGCTGACAAGTGGTTTAGGTATTGCTCTGGCAGTTTTTGAACAAGCTTTGGGCTTGCGACAAGGATCAGTTTACATTTTCCATCTACATTTATATAGGCTTGGATTTGTCATTTGTCACATTTAAAATGTTTTGGTGATTGTAATTGCCCCCCCCCCCCCCCCCAATCTCTTTAAAATAGGTTTGTGTGATAAAGCTAAATGAGGCTTGCTGTCGAGCGGGATTACCCCTACAAATCCTATCTATTGTTATTATACAATAATTATTTTTGTTATTGTTATTAATCTATCAATCCCCGACTATTTCGAGATATTCATGCTTGACTGTACATGGAGAATTCTGATCGATGACCTATGCTCCAACATAGGGTGAGAAAGGCTGATGGTGATAATGATCACACCTGCTTGCCGATTCACTACTTTTGGACATCAGACCAGCATACTTTTGGCAGCTGAACACAAATATGGTCATGAAAGTTGTCACAAACCAATGGTTTTTCTAGGAATTTACTAGACTAACCTTAAATGTTCATAGCATTAACTTTTAAACTTTTTTTTATTTTTCCCTTTTAGGTTACAGCAATTTGTAAATGGGAACACCAAGAGATAAAACTAAACTTGAAACTGCACCTGCCTGTCTCCTAGTGCAGAAAGCAGCGACAGATTTATAAGTGTTTAACACAGTCAACACATTAAATAGTCACAGCCCAGCAAAACATGGAGGAAAGTGAGAGAACGAAAGTAACATTCCTTTTAGCTATAGCTCTCCTGAGCTCTGGCGCCCTGCTGTTTCTACGTCACCAAGGGTCTGTCCTGGAAATTGCTGAAGTAGACGCCTGGCTAGAGAGCAACAGGCTAAGCTACATCAAGGATGTGGTGCACCAGGCGGGTGAGTGGAATCACTGTACTCAAACACTTTGTGTAAATAGTGAACTTCTGATCAAATGTTAACTCAAGCATATATAGATGTATAATAAATAGATGGAAAATTAGATAAGATTAACATATATATTGCTATAGAATTCATGGGTGAGAGCCTTTATTTGTGACTCTTGTCTGTAGTAGTGTGATATTATGTGATGTTGATGAGCTATAATGTGTGTGTGTTGAGGAAAAATAGGTGTGAAATAAAGTGTCTCAGACATGTTGTTTCCGACATTGTCACCAATTGTCATGGGACTAGTAATTTTGTTGTTATATTCTGTCACAGTCAACACCTGTACCAGTTCCTTTTTTTTTCCTATTTAATAGCTAGAATTGCAGAAAGGTTGTTCATTTAAGCTTTAAAAAATTCCAAAACAACAAAGTAATGTCTAAGAAAATTCAGTGAAAATTTTAAAGCATATGGTGTAAACAAAAGAATCAGGAATCTAACTTTGTTAAAGATAGTCCAGTTTGTGTGTACAGTAAGGTTTGATGCGAGGATTTCACCGATGGATCAGCACCTAAGACACTTATTAAATTTTCGACTAGGTGGCACCTCAATCCACGGAGCTTTACAGGTGGTGAGGACCATTCAAAAGACAAGACGTCTTCATCGTTCCTTGACCAAGGAGCAGCACACTTTGCTGGACAAGGCTGTTCGTCGACTCAACGACCAACTGGAGCTAGAGCTGTGGCTGCAACAGCATGACTTGACCTACTGTTTCCAGGTGTAAGTGAACGACATTTTGCTCCACTGACTCATCCATGTAAAATATGTTCATCATTATTGTTGTTTTGAGCTCATAATGACCATTATTGCATCGATGTGCTTCCTCTTTTGTCTCAAGAAGGATGTGTCATCTTTGCCAACATAGTGTGTGCCTGTGTCTGTTCCTTGTGTGTGTCCTATATGTTTGTCTGTGTTCTATAAATCTTTAGTTTATCTGTGGGGTTTTGTACATCTTTTGCAAGGCATGAGTTGGGTGCCTGTGCGTTCTGTCTGGCTGTACTCTTTGTCGCTTTTGTTTCTGTTTGTCTTAGTTTTCCCTAGCACTAAATGACTGTTATTGTGTTCATGTGCTTCCCTTTACTCAGACAAAATCAAACAATTGAAAAGTTTAGAGTTTAGGCTACTTTAAACCTGCCTGTCAAGCTCATCCTGGACTGAGAGAGCTATAGCGACCTGCTGAGTGAGTTCCAGCGTCCTAGGAAGCATATGAATACAATAAAATTACTTTTTATGAAGGAATCAAACTTTAGTCTTATGAGTATAACAACAAAGAGCCTAACCATCCCACCACTTTGCTCTTAGTCAATGTTGATGACATGGAAATGTATTAAAATTCAAAAGCATAAATTGATTTTACAAAAAAACAACAACATAAGAATATTTATTTCGGCTAATGACATTACACGAAAGGGAAAGGATAGTAAATGAAGATTTTATTTCCTTGGTTATTTCATTCTTATTCCAACAATTAGGAAAAAAGAAAGAAGAATAAAGGAACTGTAGTGAGGGTCTGCATGTAATGTGGACAAGAAACATGGAGTGAATTGCTGAAGCTGTGTTGATTTAGTGACAGGAAGAGACTGGAGTTGTGGTTTCCATCAATTCAAGTTTGTTCCAGACTTATTTGAATGAAGGGAGAGGTGAAAGTCTCGCCAATTCCAGAGGAAGAAACTTTTGATGTCTCTACCCTCCTTCATAATTCGTCTTTTTCCTTTTAATGATTTGTTTCCATGGTTTCCTTTTCCTTTTTATCCCGATATATTAACGATCTGTACTTTACTCCTTTCAGCGATGCACCACTTGAAAAAATATTTCACTGATTTTGTCTGTTTTGTGTTTTTCAGACTCATGACAAACAATGTGATCAGTTTGAAAGATTTGGCCAAACATCAAGACAAAGAGGTCAGAGATCTGTTGACCGTGGCAGGCTTCCATGCTGATTTCTCTCATGTCCTGTCGGACAGTTTATTTGAACTGCGAGAAGATTTTAAACAGAACCACAAACCTGTGGAGACAAAAGCCCTCTCTCAGTTTGTCAAGGCCAAAGGAGAATCCAAGATGCTACTGATATGTGAGTTTGTCTCCTAGTTTGTTTTTAAAAAATCTTTTTAGTAAGGGTTTGTGGGTGTTGTGTTGTGGTCCTCAAAGGAGATGGTTGGAGGGTGCAGTCAGTAGGGCCTACTTTCTATCTTTGTCTCTCTTCCTTCTATCTAAATGTCTTTTTTTTTCCTGCACGAAAATCTTTTTTTTTGTCGGTGTGATTCATTGTAAAAGAAACTCCTAAAAAATTGTCTACCAGTGACTAAAGTCAGATAGGAAGTGCAATAGTGTTTGTAATATCTTCGCTGTCACAAGCAATCCGCTAACCTCCAAATGTGGAGAATTTTCTCAAAGATGCGCCTTTCAATATCACCAAAATGCAGTTTAATGCTATGGTAAAGGCTAATAATTTTCTTGCTTTTCATGATTCCTGATGATAAAACACTTTTGGACAAGAGCAATAAAAACACATATCCTGTAGCACTAAAACATCCTGCCCTTGAAACAATTGATTCCTATCCACCAACATGGATCCACTCATACACTGATGGATCTGCCTTTAAGGCAACAATCAACGCTGGATATGGGTCAGTGATCAACTTGCCCAGTGGGATAAAAAAAAAAGAAGTCTTTAATTCCCGCGGGTCCTTCTGCTCCAATTTCATCGCCGAACAACAGGCTATCACCAACACAGCAAACTACATCAACTACTTGTTTGACACTAATCCACTTGCTACCACAGACATCGTTATCTTTACAGACAGCCTTTCAACACTAGAGACACTTGAGAGTGGGACTGATGTGAACAAAGATGTATTGCACTTGATTTGGAGTCTACATAATTTGATAAGTAGGCACCACGTCAGAGTAGTCCTACAATGGATTCCTGCCCACACTGGGATACCGGGAAATGAAAGAGCTGATGCTCTGGCAAAGAGAGGAGCTAGCCTCCCTCAGCCTGAAATTCCTACGAATTACACCACCTGCTGCCAAATGATCGAGTCAAACCTCAAGGAAAAATGGATGAATGATTGGGCCACAGGTATGACAGGAAGGAGGATGTATGGCCACATGAATAAACCACTGGTCAAAGATCCAATCAATGAGTTGAGGAGGGGAGATCAATCCATAATCTTCCAACTTAGAAAACAACATGTACCCCTCAACCAACATCTCAACCGAATTGGAGTACAGCAGTCTGCTGCCTGCCCACTATGTGACTACCCCTCAGAGACAGTGGAACATCATCTGTTCTTCTGTAGAAAACTAACTGATTTAAGGGGATGTTTTTTTCCCAAGCTACCCCACACATCTGATTGCCTCTACTCCTCAAGACAACAATTAGAACAGACATGCAGCTATTACCGAATGGCTTCATGCAGAAGAGTTAACGCTCAGATGCTACTGGATCGCTAACAACAACAACAACAACAACAACAACATGATTCCTGATTGGAAAAGTGCAACAGAAACTAGTTTTTGGTCTCTGATGTAAAAAATATCCATACAAACTTTAGTGGCTTGCTTGTGACACAGACAATATGTGAGGTGTGCTGACAACATGAGTTACTTCTCGCAATCCACAAATGGAGATATTGATCAAAAATCGACACCAGGGTCAAATTTGTAGTTTTGTTTTTTGATGCCATATTCTTTACCTGTAATATGCCTTTTATTATTTCATACTTATAAATTGTAAAATCTGCACCTTTTAAGCGTTATGTATCTATTTCCACAGGGATTGAATCAGAGAAGTTACTAATTTTGTCAGCATGCTTTACGCTTCTTTAATAGTCATGATGAAATATCCCAAGAAGCTGTATTGACTTACCAATCATATTTTTTCTCTTTGTTCTATTTTGTGCCCAATTATGTCATTCGCACCATGTAGAGTGACATTTGTGGACCTCTGGGGATTCAATAGTTTTTCTGTCCTTCATTCTATAGAAAACTTAGTGCTGTGCAGGTTGTGGTAATACAAGTTTACAATGGTCATTTAAAGGCCTTGTGTCTCCAAAACACAGTGCTCAAAAACAACTGTTGGTATTTGGGTTTTTTACTTTCTCCAACCTCCTCTCTCCCTTTCCAAGTAAAAGGATATCGAAATAAGGGCTTCTTCCCAATCACCACACAATGGCCCCGGCCCCGCTTCCCCCAATTTCAACCTCCCATCCTGCTTCTCGACACCCTTGACCCCTTTCAGCAACCCCCCCCCAAGAAAAGAAAAGAAAAAAAGCCCAATAAAGCAATAATGCCCTTAGTGAAGATTTTCCTTTTCACCCTGATCCTTACTTTTTTCCGGCGGCATACTTCACCTTTGAAGACAACTTTTATTTCCCCTTTTTTGCAATTACTTTTTTGGTTACAACCTCACTTTATGGCAACATTTTTATGAGTCTTCTGATTTGACTCTTGTCAAAGTTGTCTGACCTACAAATGTGTTACTTGAGCTGACCTTGTTCACAGCTGTGACTACGATGATGCTTCACTTCATTTTTCAAAAATAAACAAGTAAGACACTGCACAGGGTTTTTAAAAATGATAATAAACAAAAGCCCTACTTAACAAAAGAATATTTTTTCTTAGTAGTCTATTTTTCCATATCTGCTAGACAAATGTCATTACATGTACCTGTAGTCTTTTTGTTATCTATTGGCTCTCTTTATAAACCTTATCTCCATATTTGTGGCATGAGGGTTGACTGATACCATATTATTATGTCATTGCTCTTTCTCTTGAATGGCTCTTACAACTTCAACAGTAATGTGCATGCACGCCCGCGTATGTAAGCGTATCTCAACATGTGTCACGATATGGTGGAATCAGGTGCTCACCAATTTTTGTGCTTATGGGGGGTATCAACTTAAGCTTGTTCATGAGTCTTGCTTTTGATGAACAAAATACCCATCTATCTTGAATAGAAGCGGAGACATTTGTGATTGAAAGAGGTGGGGTTCACCTGGCGTTAGAGGTAAAATTAGCGAGAGAATGGCCGTCTAAGTTTGGTGATATTCAAAGCTTTAGTGTTCTTGGAAAATTCAAATTTACTTGTTTTGTCCCTTTAATCAATGTTTTTCAGTAAAATCCACATCGAAATGAGCTTTTACACTTGAACATAAACGTGATGAGCCAAAAGTTTAAAAAAGCGATAAAAACTGGCGTAATGGCAGGAAAATGTTGGTTTATTCGATTTAATTATATTGACGTGCGCCAATTTAACCACGATGCCTCACATATTTGTACTTGTCATTGGCATTGCATAAAAGTTTACCTTCTACAAATTAGGCTTGTACATCAAAAAGTCTGTCCTCTCCAGACTCATTGTTCATCAAAACTTAATTTCAAAGCTCAAGTTAGAATACGGAAAATGGACAGGAAGAAAACAAAGAAAATGCCCCATGCCAAAGTGATGTTACCACTGTACATCAGATAGATATTCAGCAAAAAATTGGGGTTATGCTATGTTTATCCCAATTGTCGCAGCTACTGCTGATGGGAAATTTTTACTACCACAGAGACTTGGGGGCAGGGTAGTCTTTATTTTCAGCTTATGTTTCTTTTCTACATAGTCTCTTGATCTGGCTCTAGGAAGTTCTATTCCTAGGTATGTTTCGAGGTTGGGGGGAGGGAGGGGGGATGACGAGAGGGGTTGAAGGGTAGAGACCAGTATAATCTGGGGGAATAATGTTATAATTCTTGTGTCCCCTTTCAAAACGGTTGAGTTGTGTCCCTTGTTCAACTTTGAAGGGCAGCGAATTTGCAAATTCCTTCTTTCGTCCTATCTTCATAAGGTTTCTTTTTCCTTGTTTTTAGACATTGTTTTATCTCCATCGTAAAATTATGGCTCCGATGATGTTGTTATATATACACTTTCAACGACCCCCTATACTTAATTCGTTTTCTTAACTCGATTGTTCGCTTAGTATCATGACTTACCCATCCATTTACTATCGGCTACCCACTCACTTGCTTGGTATTTTCTTTATATTTATCCCAGGACTTGTGTATTTTTAAAGTTTATCCACACACACACACATAAACACTCACGCACACCGCTACCATGCACGCACGTGCGTACATTTTATACTCACATGACCCCCCCATTCGCGACAAAAGTTCGCTTGTGTTCCCACGGGTACCTGCAAGGATACGCACTGTCGGACAAACAGGCACGCATACACATATGCAAACGCGCATAAACGCTTGCACTCATGATACAAACGATCAGCTTAAAGCAATTGTTACCTTTACTACTCTTACTCTTTCCCTTCTCATGTTCCTTTTCCTCGCCTCCTCCCCCCTCCCCCCTCACACACACACTACAATACACAAATACACTCACTCTCTCTCACACACACACAAACATCACACACACACGCACAAACACAAACACACACACACACACACACACATATTATATGTTATA